ATAATATGATAATTTGACAAATTTTGGTGCTTCCTGGTTATATCACCAACTCAGAAGTCAAGATGAGTAGCATCCCTGGAAACTGTGTTCACCCATGGCATGAATTGGGTTCAAAATGCTATGCTGCCTCCTTGTTCTCGCTCCATCTTCGTTTTGCCATACCATGATTTGGCTCGATAACAATTTGTCTCCTGGTTCACAAAAGCATGCAAGACATCAGAGAACTTGTAAATGGATTCACAAATTTTAAAATTGTATTGTATAAGGAATAAAATAGATGAAACTGTAGGTTTCAACATCCATGTGTAATTTTGATGCTTGGCGCTCTGTGAAACATGTTCTTAAATGCGCATCAATTTCCCGTTAGCAACATCAACACACATTCTTCTCCATCCACTTTCTCTTGTATGAAAAGCAATTTCATAAAATGCTCCTTGTCAAAGCTTTAAACGAAACATGATACATATAATTCATATGGCTACACGAACAGCTTATCCAAGAGGGAAAGAAAATATGATCTATATAATTATTACCCGACAGAATTGTTTGGCATGGGGTATAAAACTGCTACCTGGACATAACAAAACCCCACAACCCACAAGACAAGGTGGGGGCTGGGGGAGAAGATAGGCCCCAGGTCAACAAAATTTACTCTCTGAGTTCACTAAAGACAATGGCATGGAATTAACCATAATTTTCAAAAAAATAAAAGGGACAAAACACCTCAAGCTTACGTTCTCAAAGCAGTAACAAAAACAGTATGACAATATCATAATGCTTAAATGCAATTCAAAAATTGCAATTACCTTGAGTAATGGACGCAACAAATTCTATGCTCATGAGAATCCAGACGTCTACATAGTTATTATCAGACTCTGTCTTGCACTGCCTGTCATTTATTTATAACATGTTTTGCTAGAGTAGCATCCAGTTTTTCTCCAGTAAGAGCAATCCATGCCTGCAAGCGAAAGAAAATTGGAAACCTCAAATCCAGTGAAAGATGATTACAGACAAAAGTGATGTCTAACACTAATTTTGATCATTTCGCAATTCATGGGGATATGAGAAACACTGTTATCAACTGAAGAAAATAGTAAAGTACGACCAAGTGGCGCTAGAATATTGTGACATGCATGTATATGTTATAACTAAAAGAAGAAGAGACCTGCTCGGAAGATGTGAACCCCTTAATTGTGTCACCACCAATTATTGCAATTCCTTCATCTCGTCATTGCCTGGAAAATTCATATCGACTCAGTAATTCTTTGATGTGGAAAACTTGGCTGGTAGATCAACGCGAAAAATGTGTTGCAAGGTTCAGAATTACAATCCAAAGCAGAACAGTATTCTTCACGATATAAATATGAATTAAACATTATGTGATTTTATACAGTAAGCTGGAAGTACAAATGATGGTTCAAGAATTTCTGAGACAATGTCTTTGAAACCATGAAAATGATCCTGTCCAACAAAGCAACCATGCATTCTATGATGAGGGAAAAATTATTAGTTCATGAGTCAAAATAATATTACAGTTCGTGACCAGCTACTCTTGATATGTACTAGCTCAATTCAACTCAACTAAGCCCACACACACACACACAAAAACACATGACGTACGTTACCAGAATCTGCCTACCCCTCTCTATTCAGTACTGCCATGGACTCAAATTTTTATAACCAGTTGTGATTCAAGATCTGTCTTTCACTTCGGCACATGTCATTTTTTTTATCTACCTCTCCTAATTCTCCATTAACATTTCAAGTTGATCACTCTCTCTCACTGGTGCAACCATAGGTCAACATCAGATATAGCCAAACCATCTCAAATGAACCTCGGTTCACTTTTCTCTAGAGATGCCACCTCTGGCTTCCTACAATGTACTCATTTTCTTACCCAGTACTTTCTTGTGCTTCTAAATGTCTAATCTTTTTACAAAAAAAGTTCAAAAAAACTACACTTTTAACCTTCAAGACTATTTATTCTATTCTCAATAATACCCAGACAATCCACGTAAAAGATGTAGCGACCTTTATTCAGACGAGAAAGAAAAGATCTGTTTGCAGTTTAATTCAAGCATCCAATGCAGCTAGAATGAGCGAAAAGTCAACAAATTAATAATCAGCAAAAGTGGTGATTTGCTTTTTTAATGAGAAGCGTTTTACAGCATCTCGACAAAAGTGGAAAACAAAGTCAAATTAAACTTACTGGGAAAAAGTGAGATAGATCACTTGTGTGTTCAAAGGTAGAATACAAGCATCCTTTTCGTTTTTCTTTTTTTAAGATCATCACATGGCAAAGGATTCAAAACAACAAAGAAAGCTAACAGATCATGGAAAATACTTACGAGATGCAGATTTTATAGCAGCACTGTAAAGTGATCCTTGCATCAACTCGGCAGCATCGACAGACAGTGCTTCATTATCGACAGATTAAGCTACCAAGCCAATTTGTAGGATACAACAGTAATCATAAATAACAACTAGAGACCTGCAGCATGTAACACCTGACAGAGATTCCCATGCCCTAAAGTTGAGCAACAAAAACAATGATAAATAGCCAAAAACACATTACCTATTTCCCGATTCCTCCTAAAAATGTTGATGATTAACAAACAACTGACAAGGAAGCACCTAATATTCCATCTTAAAATCTGTTCTAGTACAGTAGTAGTAACGTAAGCAGAAAAGGCAGTAACATAATAGCTCGGAAACTACAAAATCAGGAAGGTGGGAACATATAAACCGGCATTCCACGCCTTGAGGATTTACCTAAAAAAATGAAAATAAAAATCACACTCTCCAATTTGCAATCCAATTAACCATGGGAAGCAAGTGCGTAGCCCACACCACAGAGATAGATGTAGGGCGAATTGTCAGCCATACCAGACCAGTTAATATATTAGACACTGCCAATCCAAGTGTTAACAAATCAGCACTGGATTGTCAAGTGCCATTAAAAAAAAAAAGACTTGGCATAATTACCTTAATAATCAACAAAAACAAAATGATTAAGGATTAAAAGATAAAACATTTCAAGTCCGAACCTAGCAATAGCAATGAGAAATTTTACCTGCTAGCATCGACAACGGGAGCTATGCCCAAAACGGCGCGATTGGCGAGCACGGCCAACAAAGAAGCACCCCCGACAAATATGGGCAAGCTACATGTTGTCAAAAATTATTAAATCCATGTTTGTGTATTCAAATTTATATTTTGAAAATCACTGTTTAAATTTTTTTTTTGTGTATTCAAATTTATATTTTGAAAATTACTGTTTAAATTTTTTTTTGTTTACTATTAGAAACCTCAAGTTTTTTTTTTAGTTGAGTTTTTTTCAATTGTATCCTCTAAGTAAATTGATTGAGAATTAGGTTTTATAACTTGTTTTGATTTGCATTATGTGAATTTATCTCAATCTCATAATTTTAGAAAAGTATTTTCCTGGAAAATTTAGGTGGAAAATATTTTTCGGAAGTTGTGAAAAATTTAGAAAAGTCATATTATTTACTGATTATATTAAATTTGGT